TTTTGTCCTGACGTCAATATTTGGTGAGCTGGATCAAAATCATATGAAAGGTCTTTGGGAGACGATTTCAATGACATAACACAAATTTGTATACAACTCCAAAATTATTACAAATGTCGCATTATATGGAAAATGTTTCAAGTTTTTCAAATTTTTACATAGAATTACTTAATGTAATTAATTGAAATTATTTCATTATAAACCTCATATATTTTCACCGAAATGGTTTTTTCTGTTTTTCGAAATTCGATATGATTTGTATTTTATTTAAATATTTTTAACTATATTTTCTCCCCGGTAATGTGCCATCTACATTTATTTAACGTACTTAATATATACAATTAGAAAATTTCGACTACTTTTGCTGTTACGAAAAAATTTCTGATATGGAATTTAAAGCGTCTTTCAAGGATCTTTCTAATGATACCAATATTTCATATCTTTCCTTTGGAAAAAATATGAAAAAAATCATAAAAACCTGAAAAAAGGACCTTTTTATCCTTTGATCCAGCTCAACAAATATTGACGCCAGGACAAAAATTTTGAGAAATGGTATCTTAGAATCAATTAAACTTTAATTTTAGTTGGGAACACTAACACCTTATTTTTTCTCCATACAAACGGGGCCACCCTAATTTATATATTTATGTATGTATTTAATCTTTACTTTTTCTATTTCTTGTTTGTTGTTGTTGACAATACCATGTTGTGTTCTAATATTTGAAATTAAGATAATCTTACAATCATCACCATTCACAAAAAATAATTTTTTAACACATTTTAAGGTTCATTTCCCAATCTCACTCGATGCACTCACTATATACTACATATACATATGACTTAAATCACACAAACACTCTCATTATTTGTAAAGTTTGTACTGAGAATTGACTAAGACTCATTTGTTTAGTTTGAGTCAAACATAGTATTTGAAAAAAAGAAATAAAAATGTTTTAATTTATTATTTAAGGCACTCGTGCTCACTCTACTTTCAACACAAATTAAATTTCTTTCTAACTATTCCATTTAAAGTTAATTACTTTTCAATTTGAATATTTTTTATACCCATCATCATTCCGTTTTGTCATTCCGTTTGTAACACATCGAAATATTAGTCATAGACCCACAAAAGTATATATGTTCAGGGTCCTTATTAAATTCTAAGACGATCTAGCCATGTCCGTCCGTCTGTCTGTCTGTTGAAATCACGATAGGGACCGGGAGGAGCTAGACAGTTGAAATTTTGCATAAATATTCTCCATTGCTAAGGTTTGCTTGGTATTGATAATGGGCAATATCGGTCCACGTTTTCGGATAGCCCCCATACAAGTGGACCTCCAAAAAACAGCTATAACTGGCATAACTGTTTTATAATTACGAGTATAGCGATGAAATTCGACATAAATAGGTTCCATATGAGCCAAAATCTTTCTACCTAATTTTATGACGATTGGTCCATAACTGACTCTACCCCCCATATAAGGTCCCCTTTAGAAAATGACTAACACTCATTACTGGCCTAAAAATTTGAGTATAGCCATGAAATTCGGTATAAGTAAGTTTCTTATAAGCCAAAACCTCTCTACATATATTTTTTTAGCATCGGTCCATAAATGAACCTAACCCCCATATAAGGCTTCTTTCTAAATATGACTATAACGGTCATTACTGGCTTAAAAATATGAATATAGTGACGAAATTCGACACACATAAGTTTTATATGAGCCAAAATCTATCTACCAAATTTAGTGACCCATAATTGACCCACCGCACATACAAGGTCCCCTTCAGAAAATGACTTTATCGCTCATTACTGGCTAAAAAATACAAATATAGCAATAAAATTTGACACAATTAAGTTCCTCGCGAGCCGAAATCTCTCTACCAACGTATACGCGGATCGGTCAGCAATTGACCGTACCCCCCATATGAGGAAGTCCCCTCCAGAAAATGGCTTTAACGCTCATTACTGGCTTAAAGATACGAGTAAAGTAATAAAATGCTACACACGTAAGTTTCTTATGAGCCAAAACCTCTCTAGCAATGTTTTTTTTGGATCGGTCCATAAATGACCCTACCCCCCATATAAGGTCCCCTTCTGAAAATTACTATAACGCTCATTACTGATAGTGCAGTACCTCTCATATAAGGTCCTCTTTAAAAAATTTGATGTGGAAATTACTATTACAGCGATGAAAATCGACAAAAAAAAGTTTGTACTTAGGAACATAATTTAATGAGGACTGATCTATAGCTGATCCTAGCCCCTATAAAAGGTTCCCTTCAGGAAAGAGTTTTTGTGATTCAAATACGAGTTATCCTTATTTAAAAAATAGGAGTATAGCGATGAAATTTGACATAAACAAGTTATATACAAAACAAAATCTATGTACAAAATTGTATGAGTATCGGTTCATAATTGACGCATAAAAGGTCCTCTTCAGAAAATTATTCATACTCTCACGGTTTATAAATTTAACAAAAATATAATTAATATTTTGTTAGTTCAAAAGAGTTCGGTCCATAATTGACTTAAGCCATATTCCAAATATCATCCTGATATTTATTGGGGAGCATTCCTTTTACGGCATACGGTTTGATATTCGGCACAACCGAATATAGCGCTCTTACTTGTTTCTTTTAAAATTCTATTTATTTAATTTCAAAAACTTTTTCTAGAATTCAATTATACATTCTAAAGAATTTTTTTGCTTATTTACCCTTCAGTCACTGTTGCATAATTTGATTTTAATGGCATATTTAATGCATTTTTCGCTTATATTTTGTTATTTTATGAATTATTTTTTTAATTTGTTTTTAGGGAACAAATTTTCGGAGGTTGTCTCAAATTTTTGCTAATATCTCTGTTATTTATGAACAAATTTTGCTGATTTTAAATTGTAATCTTCTCGAAAACAAGTCTGATATAATTATTGGGTCCCGAAGATATCTATCTATAAGGATATCTATAAGGACTTAGAATATACATATTGAAATGTTGGAAATTTTTATTATAGAAATTACAAACGGAATGACGAACGGAATAAATCTTACCCTTCTCATTAAGGCTCAGTTATACAGACAAATAGCTAAATAATAAAATTATAAGGAAAATAAATATATTCCTTCTTAATTCATAGTAATTAAAAAAAGAGTAGAAAAATACATCTCGCACCATAATAATTAAAAAAGGAGAAAAATATACATTTCGCAGAAAAATATTATTCATGAGTAATTTCCAATAAAACTTATAATCATTAAGACTTTGGAAAAACGGGAGAAATATTTTAATTATTTGACTTTTGTTCTTTACATACAGTTTTTTGTTTACCCTTTTTTGAGTTTTATGTTCATAAATAAAATTAAAAAAAAAACAGGTAGAAAGTAAATTTACGTTTTCCACTTAAAAAATACATTACATATTTTTGTTTTGTTAAACAGAACTCAGAAATATCCAGCAAGAGGCCGAAACTGGTGGATCACAGCAAGCATACGCTGAACGTTCCAATAAGAAGACAAAGAACTGGAACGGAAAAGGAGCTAAAGAAAATAGAATTATCGCTGATAAATGTTACAACTGTGTTCGCAAAGGTCATTATGCAAGAGAATGTCGAGATAAGAAATCAATGGATTAAAGGACATGTGGGTTAATTGCGTCAGCTAAGGGTTTTGAGCAGAATGTGTGGTATGTAGAAAGTGGAGCAACATCCCACATGTGCAATGACAGTAAGTTGTTCAAAAATCTTGAGAGATGCGAAGAAAAGATTTTTCTTGCCGCCGATAAGTACATAACTGCTACTGGCAAAGGTAAAGTTATACTCAAAGCTGAATGCGAAATTCAATTTAAAAACGTCTTATTTGCTCCTGAATTATATGGTAACTTTATTTCCATAAGCAAGGCTGTTGAAAATGGGCATACAGCTACATTCAATTCTAATGGTGTGAAAATAAAGAACAGTGATGGTTATGTTGCTATAAGAGGTAATAAAAAGGACAATTTATATGTTTGTGCCAAGAATCTAAACAGCGCATATTTTCCAGTTAGTACTAACGACATGTTATGGCACTGCCGATATGGGCACTTAAATTTTAAAGATTTAGAAGAAATGTCCAAAAAAGATCTTGCAAGTGGCATGAAGATTTCAAAACAAGCAAAAACGCATAGTTGCAAGACATGTATGGTAAGCAAGATCCATGTTATGCCATTTCATAAAGCAACTGAACGCCGTCCTGTATGTGTGTTGGAGCTAATCCATTCGGATATGTGTAGTCCGATAGACGTAGCATCAATTAGTGGTTCGAAATACTTTGTCACTTTTATTAATGACAAAACAAGGGTGGTATTTGCATACTTCATGAAGTCAACGAATGAAGTATTTGATAACTTAAAAATTTTTAAACAGCAAGTTGAACGTCAAACTGGAGAAAAGATAAAAATCTCAAGGAGCGACAATGGCCGTGAGTTTATTAATATAGCTTTTGATTTATATCTTCAGGAACATGGCATTATGCTTCAGCTGACAGTTGCTTACACACCACAACAAAACGGTGTTGCCGAGCATGCAAACCGCACATTAGTGGAGATGTCCCGATCTATGTTGGTACATTCGCAATTGAACAAAAATCTGTGCGGTTGCGACAGCTGTGTATTTACGAAATCGTTCGCCAACTAAAGTCCTAAATTATTCCTAACAATTGCCTGGTCCAATTGAGGAACAGCCGATCAAATTTAATACTACTGAGGAAGGTGAATTTGATACTGCTGACGAAGATGATGAAGAAGAATCTTAAGAAATTTTAATGAACAAGAATGTCAGAATGGGGGAAGTTCAGTCGTAGGAGGAAAATATTGATTACAACACAATATCGATTCAGAAATTCAATCTCAACAGCAACATTCTAATGCCGATGTCAAGAGGTACCAAAAAGAGGAGCAGGCCGACCCAAAATTATTCGAGATGGAAAGCCAGGAAGAACAAAGAAGCAATATAACATGGTAAATGGTTTATCAAAAAAATGTGAATTTCGTTCCTCAAACTCCTGAAGAAGCAATATCTTGTGATAAGTCAGCTGAATGGAAAAATGCTACGAGGGTCGAATTTAATGCATTGAAGAAAAACAAAACTTGGGACATGGTTGATTTGCCTGTTGGAAAAACTGCAATAGGTTGTAAATGGGTATACGCTATTAAAACAACGAAAAATGGCGATATTGAGCGATACAAAGCAAGACTTGTGGCGAAGGGCTGCAGTCAGAAATACGATGTTAACTATCAAGAAACATCCTTTCCCCTTATCCGTTACGAAAATATACGACTCTTATTTGCTATTGCTGTTAACAAAGATATGCATTTGCACCAAATTGGTATCGTGAGTGCTTATTTAAATGGTGATCTCAACGAAGCCAAAGATGTTCGTTGATAAAAACCATCCAAATAAGGTGTTGCAGTTGCGAAAGTCTCTATATGGTCTTAAGCATTGTGGCCGTCAGTGAAACGCTAAACTTGACTTATATTTGAAGAAAATTGGTTTCTCAAGATGTGAAAACTATCCATGCTTATATAAAATGACAGTTAATGATGACCTTGTGTTACTAGCTGTGTACGTAGATGACACTCTTATCGGATGTAGAGATCTAACAGTAGTTCAGCAAATTAAATTGGCAATATCAAATGAATTTGACGTAAGTGATAAAGGTAAAGTTCAGTACTTTCTTGGTATGGAGATCAACAGAAATAGTGAAACAGGAGATTTAACTGTGAGTAACGTCCAATATATAAAAGCTTTGTTAAATAAATATAACATTGATCCTGGATTTCAATTATCTTGTTCAAAAAATTTTGTAAAAGCAGATGTCACGTCATACCAGACAGTAATGGAAGAACTAATGTATTTAGCAATCACAAATCGGCCTGATATATTACACTCAGTTGCAAAGTTATCACAGAGAAATACTGATCCCCATAGTGAACACATGAACGCTGCCAAGAATATCCTAATAATAGTCGGAACTGTTGAACTTAAGCTCAATTACGAATGCCAAAATTGACCGGATATGTAGATGCAGATTGGGGCGGAAATAGCCTAGATAAAAAACTATATAATGAGTTTGTATTTTACTACGGAAACTGCTTGATTTCATGGGAATCCAAAAAAGAAAGTATGGTGGCATTAAGTAGTACTGAGGCTGAGTACATCTCATTGTCAAATGCTGCAAAGGAGGCGGTAATTTGTCATTCATCAATAAAACTTTAAATATTACAGAAGTTTTTCGGTTTGTTTCTAAATTTTCTACAATAACCAAAATCAGGAATAACTATATTGATACAAATAGCTCGACTGTATTTTATTCATAAAATAAAGCAATAAAAAATGGGGTAGAAAAAAAGTCCCCTTAATTAATATCACAATTTATAAGATATTCTTTGAAAAATACAAGACAAATATGATTCATTCTGCTAAAAATAATTGTTTAAATTAAGATTTTTTTTGTTAAAATTTGTAAAATTTTACATGGGCAAATAACTTAATTGATTCACTGTATATGTGATACGCCCTGCTAAATGACTGTACTCTTTTTGCTCTATGGGAACGACGGTTTATTTGTCTCAAAAAAAAATCACCAAATAAGTTATTCATAATACCAACTTTTAGAATAATGGCTATTTTCGCACATAAAAAGTTTATGACAATAAACAAGCATAAAAATTTTAACCACAAACAAAACAGTTTGATTTTTCTAAATGTTACTATATAAACATAAAAACTAAAAAGTTATTAAATGGAAATTAAATAGTTTAAATAAAAAGCAGTTTTACACACAAAAGTATGCAGCAATATTATGTTTTTTTTAATGTTTACAAAATTTTTCTTTTAATAAAAGCAAAAAATATAAAGAAAGTAGTTAAATAAAATAACAACAAATAGTTAAACAAAAATTTAAAGAAAAAAACTGTTCTCAGCTGTAAGTTATATGCTTTTTTTACAGCCTAAAAATAGGCTTCATTTTAGCTCTAATTAAATTTTATTTTCAATGTTAAAAAAATCGTATAAAGGAAGACATTTTTTTTTACTTCCTTAAGGAAATTAATAATAAAATATAAAAAAATTTTGTAACAAAATACTTAATTGAAAAATATTGTACTATTTTCTTAAATATAAATCAATTGATTTATATTCACCTAAAATATGTTTGTAGCAAAAACATGAACATTAGTGTATATGGTTATTTTTAACACCTTTTATCGCATAAAAAATGTTTTTAGAAATTCGTATCACGTTTTCATCATGAGAGCAAAGCCAATAATTTAGTAAATAACAACATTAAACACTTTTAAAAATAAAATAAAGCCAAATCATTAAATACTGATGTTTTTTTTTTTTTTTTGAAGTTCATGGTCTGGTCAACGCCATTAAATTAAAAGTTATATTTATTGTAAACAAGTGGTAAAAATTTTATTAAAATTTGCTTAATTTTAACTAATTTAACCGATGTTCATCCATCTAAAGAATTTTCTTTCAAATAGATAATATTTATTAGCATAATGTTTTGCTGAAAATAAATGCTTGATTTAATGACTCCATTGAAGACTAAAACAATTTAAGGCCAAAATAACTAATAAATTGCACATGTAAGATAAAAGTAAATCATAGAAAAAAACAGTTTTTCTTTGAATTTTAATTCATGAATAGTTTTCAAAATATATGTATGTATATAACAAATATAAATAACTGCAACAGGAATATATAAATCAAAACACTCAAGTAAACACACCTGCTGAATTCAAATGTATTTTACACTCGAAAAATTTGTTTTTTTAAGAAATGAGTTTTGAGAAAAACTAAAATAGATAAAAATATATTGCAAAAAAAGTTAGTGAGCATAAAATAAATGCATATTAAATATAGGTTATGAAAAAGTAGTGGACTTTTAGGTTCGGTCCAATAATAGATCGATTCTAGGGGTATTTAAAACCAAAAATGATTATTAGTTGTATTGGAAATTATAGTTTTCTGCGAATTTATATTATTTTCTCGTTTTTTTTATTATTATGGTGATAAATAGTTGTATTTTTTCCGTTTTTAATAACATAGAATTAAGAAATAATATACATATGTATTTCATTTTCTTATAATTTTATTGTTAAGCTATTTGTTTATATATGTAAGTTTAACACAATTTGAAGACAGTTAGATAAAATTATAATAAAGAAGTAAGAGTGTTATATTCGGCTATGCCGAATCTAATATACCCACCATCAAACCGTAGAAAGAATGCTCTTCTATTAATATCAGGGTGATATTACTCATCAATTTTACTGAAGAGGACCTTATATGAGAGGCAGGGTGAATTATTGACCGTTTCTCATAAATTTTTTTTAGACCGATTTTGGTTCATATAAAACATGACTGTTTCCGCATGAAATTCGGTAGGACGTTCCTATAAAAGTTTTTTAGCTCTTGGGTCGTAAGAAACTTACTTATGTCAAATTTCATCTCTATACAGCACTAAGAGAAAATTCGTGCATTTAACTAATGAATCGCGTTCATCAGATGTTCTTCATCGAATAAATGAAGTATTTTATTTGTATAATGAGCACTTTCTCGTGCGCAATGAAATCTTTCATTATACATTTTTTCGAAATCTTCATAATTCACTGTTCATATGAAATTGATATCATTAAAATTACCAAGTTCAAATTAATGCAAATTTTGAGAAAAATAAGTATCACAAATAAATTTGTTTATACATAATAGCAATTCATTACGCGTATAATTAAATATATTTTCATTAATATAATTATTATTTAGTGATCTTTTTAAATTTCCAAAAAAATAATGAAACCGCATTCCAGAATACAATGAATTTTCTTCATTTATATTTTTTAATTTTTTCTTTTTGCCCTTTATTCTTATGCACCCCATGTACCATGGTACTTTTAAGCCAGTAAAGCTCTGGAGGGGACCTTATATTGGGGGTAGGGTTAATTATGGACCAAACCACAATTTGCAAAATCAATTATGGACCGATCCTCATAAAATTTGGTAGAGAGGTTTTGGTTCGTATTTTTGAGCCAGTAATGAGCGTTAAATTCATTTTCTGAAGGGGACCTTATAAGGGAAGTAGGGTCAATTATTGACCAATATATATTAAAAATGGGTCAATCCTCATAAAAATTGTTCGGGAGATTTTGGATCATATTAAACTTATTTATGTCGAATTTCATCGCTATAAACGTACCTTTAAAACAAATATGCCCGTTAAAGCTGTTTTTCGTGGGTCCACTTGTATGGGTGCTATATGAAAACGTGGACCGATGTTGCCCATTTTCAATACCAAAGAAACCTTATCTAAAGATAATATTTGTGGAAAATTTCAACCCTCTAGCTCATTCCGTTCTGACTCTATAATGCTTTTAACAGACAGACAGACGGACGGATTTAATAAGGTGCCAGAATATATATACTTTTGTGGGTCTATGACCAATATTTGGATGTGTTACAAACGGAATGACAAAATCAATATATCTCCTATCTTTTTTGATAGTGGGTATAAAAAGAAAATTATCTTTTAATATGTAATAAATAGATTTTTGTCTAAGTTAAAAAATATTAATTATTGTTAACTTTTTATTCTTTCTGCTATTTCATAATAATTATTTTGAAACTTCTAAACCACCACGATCTAGCCATATCCGTCCGTTTGCCTTTTCGAACGATGACTAAAATCTTCCTTATGGATAAGGTTTTTTAGGTATTGCAAATGGCAAATATCGATCCACGTTTTCGCATAGCCAGCAAATATAGTTTAAATTAAATTAAATTTAGCTGCATATATGCATAAATATTGCACAAATTAGTTTTATGTAACTTTGTAAAATATGACGGACACTGGTCTACGATTTGTTTTACTCCCCATAAAAGCGAAAATTACTTTATCGCTATCAACTAGCGATGTAGCAGTAAAATTCACCAAGACATCAACATCTACTCCATTATATAAAAAAATAGGCGGACTAAAACAAGGGGGTGTGGCACCTCCCATATGAATTAAAAAAAAAATTCGCATATCTGGGAAACTAGAAGATATAGAATTCTCAAATTTTGATATCCATGTGAAAATTTTAGTAATAAATTGGCGGATTGGCAACATGGACATGACACTTCCCATATGAATTAATAGAACCTAATATACATACATTTGTATATAGCCGACTCGAAAAATGAGAATGGTCTTTCTCGTAAAAAGTAAATATGGAAAATAGGGTAGCGAAGCACATCGGGTATTGATAGTCTATATATATAAAAGTGTCGCATTACTGACTGACTAATTCATCATCGCCCAAAGGGCTGAACCTAGAATCATGAAATTTTGAAAGTAGATGTGTTTGTATGTACATCCACTAAGGAGGCATTTTAGT